TAACAAGTAAGAAAGTCTAAGTTCGGGCGGAGCCGAACATTAAATACCCGGCGCAAGTATTAAATATATGTTTTCCACCTTTCCGAAAGCTACCGCTACATGATAAGCCGGGGTGTATACATTTTAAGTAAATTAGCGTCCTTAAATTTCGAAATATTGAAATTTCAAGCATATCTGAAATTTACCGTTATATGAAAAGCGGCCTCAATTTTAGTCCGATTTCAACAATTTGCAAAGGTTTGCTTTTATGTGGCAAGCACAATAACCATACTGAGCTTGGTACAAATTGCTAGAACGGTTAGCGAGATACATATATGTGATCACAAGTGGGCGGTGCTACGCCCACTTTCCAAAATTTTGTCATAAACGTATTTCTTGGTAAAGAATTGTTGCAATCATCAATTTTGAATAAATTAGCTTCAATATTTACTGATTTATCGAAGATTTTGTATTTCTCGAAATTACTGTTATATGGGATGTGGGCGTGGTTATTGTCCGATTTTAGAAATTTTCGGCCAGTTGGTATGCTGTACCAGGACCAACAACTGTGCCAAGTTTGGAAGAAATTGGTGTAGCGGTTACCAAGATATACACATGTAACCATAAGTGGGCGTGGCTACGCCCATTTGCCAAAATTTTGTAATATTCTTATTTCTCGTCTAAAACTCATTGCAAATATCAATTTTGAGTGAATTATCTTCAGTAGTTACTAAAATATCGCAGTTTTCGTTTTTCTGAAAATTACCGTTATATGGGAGGTAGGCGTGGTTATTGTCCGATTTTTAAAATTTTCGGCCATTTGGTATGCTGTGCAAAGGCCAACAACTGTGCCAAGTTTGGAAGAAATTGGTGCAGCGGTTACCAAGATATACACATGTAACCATAAGTGGGCGTGGCTACGCCCATTTTCCAAAAATTTATAATATTCATGTTTTCCGTCTGAAACTCATTGTAAGTATCAATTTTGAGTGAATTATCTTCAGTAGTTACTAAAATATCGCAGTTTTCGTATTTCTTAAAATTACCGTTATATGGGAGGTAGGCGTGGTTATTATCCGATTTCGCCCATTTTCAATACCATCCGTCCCACGCCCAAAAGAAGTTCACGTACCAAGTTTCGTTAAGATATCTCAATTTTTACTCGAGTTATCGTGTGCACAGACGGACGGACGGACGGACGGACGGACAGACAGTCACCGCTTAATCGATTTCTCTTTTCATTCTGATCATTTATGTATACATTTGTCTATATCTATCTCGATTCGTTTTGCCTGTTACAAACAACCGTTATGTGAACAAAGTTATAATACCCTTGTGCACAAGTGCGCTCGGGTATAAAAATTAAAAACTGATTTGGTTCCTTACATTAGTTAAAGAGAGATTGCCTCCAAGTTGTAGTGGGCTAAGTTCTAGAGAAACAATTGGAAAATAGCGTAACGTAACATCAAAGAAGGATCGGCAGTCATTTTTGCGTACTTAATTTAAAAAAAAAAGCCGGCTTTTGATTATGACGTTCGCCAGCAAAAGTGCGACACAAAAAAAAATCTAGTACTGAACTTTATTTCCTGCTACGATTTTTCACGTCATTTACTCCGATTTAGGCTTGCCTTCGTTCCAACCCTGAACACCACCTGGTATAAATTCGCTTTGCTGCAATTCATTTTCTTTTGAGTCTCTCAAGTTTTCGTTGTTGGTCGAACCAGAAGTTCTAGTTTAACGTTTTAAGAAAATTTAAAAGAATTCTGAGAGCGATAAATTTGTCTCGTCCAAAATGCCAAGATTAAAAGACAATCCATGTCGGCATTTGTTTGAGTATTGCGCTCAAACAAAGAAAAGTGTGTGCACAATTAAAAAAGTCAAAGACGTGCTATGCGGCGCAGCAATACAAGTAAATAAGTGACTACAATTTATTATTTATCGAATTCCAAACAATGATTATAAACTTTGTTTTATTAATATTGATATATACTTAGGGCACGGTTGAGTTATTTGCCCAATGATTTCGGGTTATTGTGTTCAGATGGGTGACCGATCCAAACAAGATGGTTGACCCGATACACACACTTGTAGTTAAGGGTCTAATCTCTTTTAAAAACTTAATTTTCTCATTTTCGGTCACTTATAAATTAATAAATTCGATTTAAAATATGTATGGAATTTTTTTGTGAATTCGATTTAAAATATGTATGGAATTTTTTTGTGAATTTCGGAGTGAGTTCTGCGGAAAAATACTGTGGATCGCTACGCGAAAAGTGCTTGCTCAAAAATATTGTGGCCAGCGTGGCCAACTCGAAAAGGTGTTATGCACCAAAATACTATGGATGGCGTAACCCGAGTTTACATTTTCTCTGTCAAATGCTCATTTTACCGCATTTTAAAATGATCTGTGGAAGGGTTAGGGGGACAGGTATGACTTTTGACTGTTTAAACTGTGCTCTTTCTAGTGCGTGGGGTATCAAGAGCCACGCCTCACCCGCTCCGACCATTAGACCCAAAACAGTGGGCAAATAAGTAAACTCCCAATACTTTTTTTTTACAAAAATAAATATTTTATGAATCCCAATATGTATATTGTATTTACGTTAATTTTAGGGCGACCATGGGGGCAATTTAACTCGTCATGTCAAAAATGCACATCCTGAAATATATACAACAATAATGGCCAATAGCACTACAAAGAAGGGAACAACTGAAGCAGCTGAAGATTTGAAAATCAGAAAAATCACCGATATATGGGCGCCAAAGATTTCAGTCGAACTGTCGAAACAAGCAGAGCGGGAGGCGTGTCTTGAAATTTGTTCAGTGAATGGGAGACCTTTTTCGATCATTAACGACTCGGGATTCCGGAAAATTCTCGATCCTGTTTTAAAACCTTTGGGATTGACAATAAATGAACACAATATCAGAGATGGAATAATCGAAAAATCGCGAACCGTACAAAAGCTCATTAAAAACGATATAGAAGGAAAGCTGTTATCGTTAAAATTAGACTGCGTAACCATTTTGAACAGTTTGATTTTTATATGCCCGGTTCATATATGTTATACTTCAATGGTACTAGACTGTCTCGCTTTGATTTCGGAATGCTTCACATTGAGAAGTTAGCTTACTACCAATATAGAAGTATTACATATATGGCCCAGTGGGACCAATCAATTTTAAATTTATCAGCCTGTTAAAATTTAAAATTACGTAATTTTGTTCGGAAAATTTGTCATTTTAAATTTTAACAATCTGAGAAATTTTAAAATTGATTGGTGAATCTGGGGAATATAATAATATTTATACATGCATATACGAATATAGGAATTAACATGCAATTCATCGGAAACGATTATAAAATTCAGTTACGATCTTTATCATTGGAAGAAGTCCATGAAAGACACACAGCTGAAAATTTGAAAAAACTCATTAAGCACATGCTTTCAAAATTTGATATTCATGTTAATCGCATTTTCACTTGCACTACTGATAGTGGAGCAAATGTAGTGAAAACTGTTAACATTTTGAACTTGGCCGATGACAACGAAGAAGAAATGGAGCCTGCAGAAGAAAATGAAGATCATAGCGTTGAATCTTTGGTTAATGTCGAGCTTCTTGACATTGTTGCAGCTGAAACATCTGATGAATGCATAGGTAAAGAGTTCCTTTCAAAATTCAAACATTCTTTCAGACTTCCAGATTATTTTCAAACATTTTCTTTACAAAAAAATTGATATTATTAGGCTTGCGTTGTGCTGCTCATACATTGCAGTTGGCAGTCAATGCTGTGTTAAAGAAACCTCAGTTCAGCAACATCATTTCGAGAGCCAGACAAATAGTGAAGAAATTACGAACTCCAAATATTACTGTTTTGTTAAAACGACAAGGAATTAAAAGACCACATATTGACGTACCAACACGCTGGGGCTCCACATTTGAAATGATTTCCGCACTTAAAGATCTGAAAGTACAAACTTTTTGTCAAAACTTGGCAGCAGCCAATAACGAGTTTCATGGAATGGAAACAAATCACAGATATCGTGGAGCTACTTGAACCATCATACGCTGCCACTAAAAAGCTGCAAGTGGAACAGCTGGTACTCGGAGATTTTTTCGCGATATGGTCACAATGTAAATCTAAAACAAAAAAACAAAATTCTTCACTAGCTTCGCATTTGTGTTCCGAAATGACAAGAAGGGAGGCCATTTATTTTATTTAACAATGACGCATTTTTGATGGCTATTTTTATGGATCCGCGTTACAACATTATTTTATCTGCTGCACAGAGAGAAAAAGCTATTGCGTTACTAACAAATCTTTTCTGCAGAATGACTGCAGAGGAAAATAACATGAGCATAAGCAGTAATGATAGCTCTGCGCATAATCAAAATGAGACAAATTCTGAAAACGAGTCTGATGATTTTGAGTTAATGCTGTCTCAGTTAGACGCGAATCGTAATTCCGATTATGTTAGTGGGCCGAACAGTTCTGAAATTATCCGTCCTCTCTTAGTGGCCTTTGCCAATCAAAGACGGCAAGAACGAAGTATTGATGTTCTACAATATTGGAAAAATGAGTCTTTGCGGAAACCGCACTTAGCTCAGTTAGCTAAAATAGTTTTAGCTGTTCCTGCAACGCAGGTCAGTGTTGAGAGGCTGTTTTCTGGCCTAAAATTCATTATGCCACCTACGAGAGCAAATTTAAGTAGTAACGTAGTGGATTCGATTTCATTGATAAGAACTAATCAATTGTATGGGCTACAAATATTTAAATAACTTTATTAGGCTTTGCGGGTATGATTTGACTCTTTTAAAACAAAAGATTATTATTATATGTATTATAATATCAACAAATTTCTGTGAAAATCACACTTGTATATGTATGTATATCAAATACCTACCAGCAACAACTCTCATTATATAATAAACAATATAATAAACTAATTTCTGCATTTAGATTAAAGCAAATGTGGTGGAATATGGTTATTAGTTTGTATAATTGATTCAGAGGTGTTTTCTTTACATAAATTAAAATTAATCACAATGTTTAATTTCACCAAAAACAAACCTCGTAAGGTACATATTTATTTTAATAAATTTTTTTTTTTTTAAAACTTGTTTTCATTTTTTATTCCTAAACCGAAACCGAAACCGAAACCGAAAAAAAATTTTAAGAACGAAACCAAAACCGAAACCGAAACAGTTTGCAAAACCGAAACCGAAACCGGAACGTTATTTTGAATCGGTTTCATTCCTTGCTCAGATGTCACATTCATTGATATTAAAAGTTATAAACATTATATGGGTTTGGAAATTTCTTAACTTTTAATACTATAATATGGATTTGCCGTATTCATATGACATATAAAAAGAATACAAATGTAGTATATAACAAGTAAGAAAGTCTAAGTTCGGGCGGAGCCGAACATTAAATAC